GCACACCAGCTGTGGCAACAGACATTTTGATGCCTGCTAACTCGGCCACCAACAAATCTATTGCCAATTACGACCCCCAGCGGCTTCGTGCTCACGTCTCCACTCACCAACAAGCATCTCTACATCTCCTTTACAGAAAGCCTCCAAAATAGTGCAGAGACAAAACCTGGCGGGGTCGGTGCTGACGTAGCAGATTAATGTTCCCCACCTGCTGGGAAGCTTTCCCATTGGCCGAGCTTCACACAAACCTTCTGCACACCAGGAAGCTTTCAATTGGAAGTGTGTGCTGGTGCGAGGCCACGTGGACGGGTCCGCGGTCCAGATCGTAGCAGCAGCACGGCCGCCATGCGTTCAAAGAGCTTTATCTCTTCTCATTGACTCTTTTCCGTGAAGTGGGGTTCTTTCTTTTCCCGCATCTCTACTGGTCAGACAGGAATTTATACTCAACAAGGAGGTCAAAAAATGCTGAATGAGATTGTCTTCATATGTCCCAACAATAGACCAACTGAGAGGTCTCATGTGTGACTTCTCTTCTACCTCCTCAGTGGACACTCCGAAGGCTCAGAGGAACCCTCACTGCACCAACGGTCGTCAGGTACAAGCTCACCGTCCACGTCATGGTCCCATAATGTTGATACGAGGCTGATGTGACCTTAGAGACCTTAGAACAGGGGGGTGGCTCTTTGCTTCTCTGCCTCTGTCGATGGATTCCTGGAGCTTTGAGAACTCAGAAACAATTCAATCAGGATTATGAAAAAATAATTTTGCTCTGAAAAGCTGCATGTCTTTTAGAGGGATCAGTGTACATTCATAGCCTTTAGAAGGCTGGCTTACATTATTTTTAGGAAATTATATTTTAGTACCCGACATTTATTCTGTTTCAACTTCCACTGAGTTTATCTCCTAAATATAGCAACTGAAGTGTCCCTTAGAGGGAACATTACGTGTGGCTAGATGGTGGCAGGTGATGTTCTGAACCCTTATTTAGACCTTCTGCTCAGGTGCGTCGTCCCTGACCCCGAGGAGCACGGCCTGCAGCGCTGGGCCGGTCCAGAACCACGACAGAGAGCGGACCAGAGCCCACGGCCGGGGCGAGAGAGACAAGGGGAACTGCTCCTCGTCACACAGGTGAGGCCCCCCGCTCCGTCCAGTGGGTGAAGCTCCTCCTCCAGTCTGTTGATGGAGCAGCAGGCAGGAAGCACGTCGACGTCTGCTGAGCAGCTGTGGCTTTCTGGACCAGTGTGTTGGTTCTGGTCCAGAAATCCTTCAATATGCAGCCAGCTTCTTCCTCTTTGTCTCACACGTACACACACACAGACGCACACACGTTTTGCTGTTGAGTGATTGAAAAAAGAGGCAAAAGCGGAACACAGTGAGGACGAGGAAGCGGCCTGTTGACCAGGTGAGGCGGGAGATGCAGACGCATCAGTGCTCATAATTAGTTGTATTTAACCATTCGTGTCTTCGTCCCGGTGCAGTGAGACGGGACGCTGGTCCACACGAGAGAAATAATAAGCTTAAGGTCTTCCTGTGAGATCTGATCTGATATCCAAACCTCACACGGTGGCCTCGTCCCCCCAGTCCAACAGTACTCACACGCACTCACATGCACGCACATTGTGCGCTACGTTTGCTCTGCACGCTCAGCGTTGACCACCAGCCGACTAGAATACACGAAGGCATCACGTCCACCTGAAGCTCATACAGCATGAAAGGATGAGCGTGACATCATAACAGCACCAGCGTGACATCACTGCAGCATGGGCGTGTTCAGCCCGGTCGCCACGAGGGAACGCCGCCGCTGAAAGTTTCTGATGTTTTTGCAAAGTGAAGAAGGGACGTGGGGACGTGGGGACAGAACTCAGGGTTCTTCATCAGACCGGTGCTGTTCGTCACACTGAGGTGTCACATGATCAGGTGTCGCACTGTGTGTGTCTCACACACACACACATGTACAGCTCATGAGTTACAGTGATTTATGGCTCTGAGCTATTTTTAGGCTGCAGCGAGGGGGGGTCGCTGTTAGAGGCAGATGGAGTCCTCCTGCGTCTCTGAAACACATGCTGGCAGTCGAGTCTTCGTGGATACGGAAGCTTTGCTGAGTCACACGCGGCGTCTGGTTATCAGCTGGGATGCTAATCGACCGCTAATCCGTTCCGTGTATCCGCCCCGACACCTCTCGCTCCGTCCCCGGTGGTCCGCAGCCCGAGCAGCCGATTGTCCGTCAGGGGTCGACAACCGATCACCTTTCTGGGTGAAACACGTTCCTTCTCCGTGACGGTTCTCACACGAACATCAGTAGTTCTCAGGGAGAAGATGGATGTTAAAGCCCGGAGGAGTCCGTTGGGAGTTGACATGATAATTGTCTCCCCGCGGCCCAAAAGGCTCCGCTGAGTTAGGAGACGCTGGCGGCAGGTTTCAGCTGCCTGAACGTCTCTCTGTGTCGTCTCACAGCCTCCAACTCATTTGCACACAGAGCGACTCCTTTTCTCACTCTGAGGAGTCGCGTTTGGCTCCTTTCCTGTCACGTGTTATTGGGGTTTATTAAAACAACAACACCCCCCTTATGAGAGGCTCCATTCTACGCCTCTTTACTCATTCCATGTTAACTGTGCCGACCTTAAATTGCGGCTCCCCTGATCTCCCAAAGTGAAAAAGCTGGAAATGTGAAGGCGAGTCCCGAGGTTTGTTTCCCGATCCGCTCGGACCGGCTGCGTGTCCTCGGCCCGCCGCGAATCCAAGAGCCTCCAAATATTGGATGTGTTTGTGTTTGCTTTGTTCTGGCTGCGCCCCCCCGAAGGCGTCCTGGGACGGCAGTGATCACTGCAGCCATGTGTGAGCCGCGTTTACTTTGACCCGAGCCCACAAATCTTTGTTGTGTCAGAGCGAAGGGATCGGCGCCGGCATCTTTACACAATCAGGGTTCCATTAATAATGGAATAATAATAATAAATAAAATAATAATAATATAAGTTCCTAAAAATAATCCATGCCGGCCTTCTTCAGGCTATAAATGTACACTGATCTCTCTGAAAGACAAAACGTTATCACGTTTCATCAATTACGGACTACATTTCTCTCCTGTGTTCATATCTCACATATGAGCGCAGTAGAGGTATAGATAACGTCTTTGATAGCGACAGCGACCTGTCAATCACAGTCATTTGACTCTAAATCATTCACTAAATGAGCATCATGCTGTACTGAAGAAGACTTGAAACTAGAGACTGAGACCATAAACTCATGTTTACAATGTTTACTGAGGGAATAAATAAAGAGAGAAGTAGAGTCATTTCCTCATAGACGTCTATGGGAGCAGAGGAGTCGCCCCCTGCTGGTCACTACAGAGAAGTAGAGTCATTTCCTCATAGACGTCTATGGGAGCAGAGGAGTCGCCCCCTGCTGGTCACTACAGAGAAGTAGAGTCATTTCCTCATAGACGTCTATGGGAGCAGAGGAGTCGCCCCCTGCTGGTCACTACAGAGAAGTAGAGTCATTTCCTCATAGACGTCTATGGGAGCAGAGGAGTCGCCCCCTGCTGGTCACTACAGAGAAGTAGAGTCATTTCCTCATAGACGTCTATGGGAGCAGAGGAGTCGCCCCCTGCTGGTCACTGCAGAGAATGCAGCTAATTGCCCGTAGTTGACTTGTATCATGAGCGTTTGGACCTTGTATCAACCCGTCTGTCTGGGACAACTATCATGACGCTTCAGATCCTGAACGAGGTCACATTGATAGAATTTTAATCGGATCTGATCAGTAAATATCAAAGGTGGTTGTCGCCGCCTGAGATCTGTTTTAATCCTCGTGTAGAAGCTGATCCTCTCTGAGCCGTTTGCCTGAAGACTTTACATGTTGAACAGTGCAAACGGAGAGACGGAGTAGGAATACAAACTAAAGATGCTAATATATACCTGTCGGTTCAATCGACATACATTTATTTTCTTAATTTTATTCCGCGTGGGCTTCAGCTCCCACCTGGTTACTATGACAACCTCCGACCACGTCACGTTGCCACCGGTTTCAGCTGCCTGAGTGTATATTTATCGTGTTAGGGTGCAAGCGCCCTCTATTCCCCACGTGTGACCTTTCTCTGCAGGGGGGAGCGGACGCGCAGCCGAGCCGGCGCCCGGCGGAGACGCCGACGCTTTGACAGCTTACGGCGGGGGAGAGAAGGCCGCTGCGCGGCGGGCGGGAGGAGGCGCCGACACGAGGAGCGGCGCGAGTCGTCCAGCAGGTTCTTAGAGGCGCTGGGCTCAGACGTGTTGAAGTGGTTTAATGTGGTCACTGTGTCTCTTTGTGGAGACGATGTGTCTCTGTAGTCACTCTGTGTCTCTTTGTAACAACGTCACTGTGTCTCTTTGTGGGACATTTGGGGGCCTGGAGGCCTCTTGTCCCGCTCACAGTCCCCGTGAAGAACAGGATGAGAGACAACAGAAGGATCTTAGAATTGTCTTCTATGTCCTCCACAGCAGCAGCAGGAGGAGCATGAGGGACGAGGCCCGAGGACGGAGACAGTCGGAGTAGACAGAAAAGCTAACAGGACAAGGAGAGCCGGGGGGTAAAAACACGGCGGCCTCTCAAACTGCTTCACGAGGAGCTCGTGTTTTATGAGACAAATTAAAGCTCTTTGTCAAATGACTTTATTGATCATTTAACCAAATGTACCGTCAGATTTACTACACAGGCCCAAGTGTGACGGACACAACCGGTAGAAGGTGGGGTCGTCGTGGCGCTGGGGGCAGAGCGGGTGCGCTGGGAACCTCAAGGTTGGTGGTTCAAGTAGCGGCTGCCCCATGTCTCAAGTCGAAGTGTCCCTGAGCGAGACACCTGTCCCCTAATTGCTCCCCGGGCCAAAATGTGAAAAGGCCACGGGTTCAAAGTGTGATGTAAGTCGCTTTGGATAAAAGCTAAATGACCTGTGATGTAATGTGGACGCCCCGCCCCCCCACGGAAACGTCCATTTCTTATTCGTCACCTAATCAAACGTTTAACATGTAATTCTTTCAGTACACTTTATTGCCAGTGGTGAGATAATTTGCTTGTGAAATCAAAGAGAAACCTCCACATGACGACTACTTGGCAACGCGTCCGTCCAACCGAACGCAGCCGAACACGAACAAGAAGAAACGCATTACAAGTGCTCGGGTCACCACTTCTTTTTTTTTTTTTTTTTTTTGTTTTGTTTTGCACACCCAACGTTTACAGTAACGAAATGTGAGTCCAACTCGACGCTAATGTGGAGCTGTAGTCCTCCAACGTCCACACACAATAACAGCATCCTGCTTCAGGGTAACGGTCCGGTCTCGTGTCCCGGCCAAAGTCTCAGGCGTCCGTGCAGAAGCGCGGTTCCATGCTCCTCCCGCGTTCCTCCCGCGCAGCGAGCTCCAATAGGCTCCGCCTCCCACATTCCTTTCGTCGGCGGCGGCGAGGCGGCGCTACAGCAGGCTGCCCGGCCAGGAGACGATGGTCAGCGTGATCCTGCCCCGCAGCTCCTTGAGGAGCCGGACCAGCGCCGTGTGGGTCATCCCCCAGGTGCTGGTCCCGTTCACCTCCAGCAGGATGTCCCCACACCTTCAGAGAAGAAGAGCATCGTTAGCCTCTGGTGGGGGGTTGGGGGTGGGGAGGTCTACATTCTGACAGCCTGACTCCCGTTAACCAGTTTGCAACTGGTTCTTTTCTTACAAAGGTTCACTTTGTGGAATCGGGGACCCGGTGGTGAAGAAAACGACCTCATGACAATAAGTTACATCGTCCTAAATGTTCCGCACTGTACCTTTAAGAAAGAAAGAATTACGAATAATGAGACTACCAGCGTTCCCCTTTCCTGGTCTTCATAGACCTTTACCCCCCCTTGTGTTTTCCGTTGTCTGTTAATGCAACAGCTGACAGGAAGTGACCTGGGACCAAAGCCATCGTCCCGGTAACGGAGCCCCAATGAGAAGGTCCACAGAGGCCGCCTATGAAACATAAAGCCACACCTCCTAGGATGTAGAAGTACTCCTCTGTGATGTAGAAGTACTCCTCTATGATGTAGAAGTACTCCTCTGTGATGTAGGAGTACTCCTCTGTGATGTAGAAGTACTCCTCTGTGATGTAGGAGTACTCCTGTACGATGTAGTACCTTATCCTGCCGTCGTTGTAGGCCGGCGTCCCCTCCACGATGGAGCGGATGAAGAAGGACTGGTTGCAGTTGACCTCCTCCTGCCCCCCCACGATGCTGAAGCCCAGGCTGCCCGAGGTGCTCCTCCGCAGCACGATGTCTTTGCAGCAGTAGAGATGTCTGAGAGGGAATCAAACCCGGGATGAGTGAGTCTCTAAATCAGGGATTCCCAAAGTGTGGGGCGGGGCCCCCTGGGGGTGCCCGAGCGGAAACATGTAATGGTGGTCTGATGGAGTAAGAATAGAAGAGTTTTTGTGTTGCCCCCTCGTACAAAGAGTGTGTGTGTGTGTGTGTGTGTCACTCACCTGGGCAGCTGCAGCCAGGACACCCACAGCGGCGAGTAGTCGTCGCCGGGCGCCGGGCTCTTGGTGCTGTCGGGGGGGGCCGCGGGCCCCAGGCAGGAGGGCAGCGGCGACTCCTGCAGCCCCTCCTCCGGAGGACGCATCTCCAGCACCTTCAGCACCACGGGAGAGGAGGTGTTCTTCAGGTTGGCCACGGCCTCGCCTCGCGTCACCCCCGTCAAGTCCAACCCGTTCACGTTGAGCAAGATGTCACCTGCGGGGGGGGGGGGGGAGCAGTGAGGGGGGGGGGGGAGAAGACAGCCTCTGTCCTGATTTATGCTTTTCATAAAAGGACCTCACAGACTCATCACCTGCCTGTTTAATATTCAGCCACCTTCCACACAAAGAGGGGCGGTTGGGGGGTGGGGGAGAGGGTGGGGGAGAGGGTGGGGTTGGGGGGGGGGGCAGAGCACCACCTGTACTCTGAGGAAGCCTCGCAGCGATGAGTGTGAAGGAGAAACAGACCGATATGCAAATCCAACGCCGTACTTCACAGCACAGACGTGATGCACGAGGTCCTCCGGCTCTCACCCCCCCCCTCTCACGCCCCCCCCTCCTTAAAATCCTCCAGTCTGACTCATCAACACGTCATGCTACACGCGTGTCGCTCTCATTCCGGCTCCATTTTAAGGACTGATTTAAAAATAATTCATCGTTCCATCAACAGAGCACAAGAGGTCCTGAGTGTGTGTGTGTGTGTGTGTGTGTGTGTGTGTGTGCGTGTGTTTGTCTGCTTCGGTGCGTCTTGTTGTTTTGTTGAACTGCGTCGGAGTCAATTTGCGGCGTGCTAATGAAACACCCCCCCCCCCACACACACAAGTTATTCATCAGCAGAGGGAACCTCGTTCAATAAAGAATAACTCTCCCAGAGCGAGTATCTATCTGCACAACGATGAATAACGCAGCGTGCAGGTGAGTAACGCAAAGAGGCGGGTCTTCGTCTACCTTTTCGGATGGAGCCCTCCTGCCCCACCACTCCGTCACAGTCCACGTTGGTGACGTAGATGGGGAGGTCCCACCCTCGGCTGGACATGCCGCCGGCCACCGTCATGCCGAGGGAGTCGTAGGGCTCCTTGGTCAGCGTCACCGTCTTCTCGTAGCACGCCGGCTTCTGGCAGGAGTCCTTCAGGCCCAAAGGAGGCGGAGTTAAGAAACGGTCGACGCACCAATCAGAACATTTGATCATCCATCAGCTCGTCCACGCTACACGGAGCAACTGACTACTGAGCACGTGCAAACTGGACTGATGATGTCACATCGTGCACAACACGCAAAGCGCTACGTACTGTTAGCCGCTAGCAGCATTATTATGATGCATTCAAGCTCCATTCAGTAAAACTGGGCCAAAGTGAATTACGTTATCGTGATGTGTTCAATGTCAATCATTCATTTTTGGTAGAAAGTTGAATTTACTTTATTTTGAATGAGGTTTTTTCATAGAAATAAAAAGTAAAGAATTAGCGCGGGAATCATTCGCTAACGTTGGGAAGGAGACCTGAACTGTGTGTTTCCACATCCTCATAATCCTGATATGAACTTATTGTTACACCAAGGGCACCTTCTGCTGTCAACGTGGGCTAATTAGAGCTGCATACTAATGAAGGGCAGTTTTCTCGTTGACCTTTGGTGGCAGGAGGAGAAGATGCGGGTGCCACCCATGGTGTGCAACGGGAGCCTCTCACTGACACAACTGATACTAATGAATGACCTCATCATCATAACGGGTCGTGTATAATAGACGGTGGTTATCTGTGTGTGTCCTATTGAAGAGGAGACGCACCGACTGGGAGTGGAAACATCTACATCTCATGATGCTAAGCCGAGGCACAGGGAGGCTTCTCATTCCGCCATGGCATCCTCACGAAAAAAAACGTAATCTTCTTCCCATTTGGTATGATAAATATAACGCTTAGCTTAGCATAAAACCTGGAAGTAGATGGAAACAGATAGTTCAGGCTTCAGTACACCCATCCATCGTCAAACCGCGTATCCTTCCCACAGGGTCGCATGTTTATTTAGTTAACGATGGTCCATTTAGGGTCAAACAGACCGGAAAGCAGGGGATGCTTTAGGGCGGGGCTACCCGCTGATTGACAGGTCGACACCAGAGACGTATACAGCGTCTCAATACCGTCCATTCCAAATATGGTCACTTCTGGTTGACCGGTTGCCAAACAAACCAGATGTACGGAATGTAGTGAACCACCCTGAATAACACATTGACTAGATTACGTTACCAGACGTGTCACTTTCAGCCACGTCGGCTTTTCTTAAGGACAGTGAACCACATACGCAACTTTTCTTTCAAATTTGAAAATCATTCCCAGCCTGAAAGAATCGACACGAGAAGAAGAGACGTCCTCAGTCCGTCCCAGAAGGCTGGAGGAAAGATGGCCGATGTGGAAGCGCGCGACTCTCCGCCTGATTGACACGCCTCTGACGGGGGGGGGTGGGGGGGTGATCCCGCCCCCAGTGGGAGCGGCCATCAGAGCTGCTCACCAGTAGCGTCTGCTCGATGTCCACGGGGGAGTAGGGGGGGGGCCCGTCCATCCCCCACGGAGCCTCTTGTAAGATGTCCGGCGTGGGGAGGCGGATCTGACGGGACACGATGAAGTGGACGCCCTCCTCCGATGCCTGGGGGGCACAGTTCATTACGTTAGCTTAGCTTAGCACCGATGCTGGAAATAGGCCTATATTTTAGTCAACTTAGCTTCGCTCTATTCGGTTCATACCTGCATTTTATACCTTGTTAGTTTTGGTTGCGGACAGATTAAACCAACTGGATGGAACCGGTTCATCCGTGAGCTTTAGAGCTGATGGACTTTTCATTCCCATTAAAAAAAAAATATATATATATGCTCACTTGAGACGCTCACTGAATTAAAATATTTTAATCCGCTTTAAGGAGAAATTCAGGTTAGTTATGGTCTTATTAACATGAGAAGACAGACAGGTTGTCTCTCTGTCTGTCTGTCTCTCTGTCTCTCTGCCTCCTAAATCAGCTCATTCAATTGTTGCCTAACTGGACTAATTTGATTTCTTCTTAATCTCTGACAGACCCATGCGAGGCCCCCCGGGGGGGCTCCCGTCTGACGGGGGGCCCCACCCAGTCCGTCTCTCACACACGGCAATTAACCAGCGATTAACCACAAACGCACGCGGCGCCATCGACCAGGAAGCGGCGGCGCTCCACTGGGGAGTCGCCACAATTAGGAACCATTAACCACACAGCAGCTCAATTAGCCCCCAACCACCGCAATCATCCCCGGCGCCCCAGGGGATTGTGGGTAAGCCGGTGCGGCAGCCCCGAGCACCCACCTGGATCAGCAGGGCGGCGTGCTCCGGCGCCCCGTAGCGCAGGTCGTGCCCGTTGATGGCGAGCACGCGGTCGCCGACGCACAGCTGCCCGTCGCGCGCCGCCAGGCCGCCGTCCAGCAGGTGGAAGACGAAGACGCCGTGCTCCTCCGGCCGCCGCACCAGCTTGATGCCCAGCTGCTCGTCCGGGATGGACTTGCTCAGCAGCACGTGGACGCTTTCGTCCCGCGTCGGGGCCGTGGGACGCGTGGGCCCCGGCCACCTGGTGGGCGTGCGAGTGCGAGTGGTAGCGGTGGCGCTGCTCGCGGAGCACCGTCAGGCGGAGCAGCTGGCAGGGCTGCTTGAGGGTGGCCAGGGCGTAGCAGTGGGGGACGTTGCTGATGTCGATGCCGTTCACCTGAGAGGGGCGACGGGAGGCGGAGCTTAGAGGTAGAACCACTTCCCCGGGGATCCTTACCGACCCGCGGCGGTTACCTTGAGGATCATGTCGCCGGGCAGCAGGCGTCCGTCCCGGGCGATGACGCCCTCCCTGTAGATGTCCTGGATGAGGACGCGGACCAGCGGGGTCTCGTTGCCCCCGACGATGCTGATGGCCAGCGGCTCCGAGGGATCCGCCCGTGTGATCTTGATGCTGGTGAGCTCCCCGTCGGGGATCAGGTGGTGCAGCTGAGGAAGAGCCAGCACTGAGGGGAGGAAGAGGAGGCCGTGATGGGTACCCGGGCCGAGGAGGCGGGAGAGGAGGAGAATCGGGGGGCGGCCAAACCCCTCCCACCCCCCGTTTACTGAAAACAAACTGGTCCAGGCCAAGACTCCATGTTTGTCTCATTAGTCACATCGTGTCCACATGGGGGACGTTTCATCCGCCACAGATCGTTCCAACATTTAATCCTCTCAAATATTTAACAGGGCCATAAAAAAGAATTCATGGTGTTCAACCAAATAACACCATAAATCTCTGGGACACTTCCTCTCCGTCAGAATGGTGCAAACCTGTTGGGGGGAGGAGGAGGACGAGGAGACAAAGGTCGTCGGCCATCGTCTCATCGTCTCAGGCCGCCGCTCTCCCTGCTGATCCCTCTCTATTCAATATTATTAAAGCCACATCACACGCCCTGGTGTCCCGAGGGGGGGCATTACCTTCCTGGGGCGAGGAGGCGTTGCGGGCGTTGTCCCTCTCCTCCGACGTCTCGTGGCTCACCGCGGTGCCGCTCTTCGTCCTCCGCAGGACGCTGAAGGCCCGGTTGAGCCTCCGGAAGGAGCGGCTCCGCACCGACGAGCGGTCGAAGTTTCTGACTGTGAAGAAAGAGAGAGAGAGAGGACGCGTCTGAGTCACGGGGGCCTGCTCACGCCCCCACCTGACCCCCCCGACCCCCCTGACCCCCCCGACCCCGCCCCCCCGCTATCCCCACTACCCCCCGAAGAGAGAGACAGTACCAGTGAGTCCATCATGTCATCACTCTCCCTTTACATACATGCACTATTCTGACGGCTACGTCACCCGGCGGAGCGGCTGATTGGCAAATTGACAAAGGAGGTGTGGCTGCAGGTCGGAGTCTAACTGGTTTGTACTGGGAGACTCTCTCTCTCTCTCTCTCGCCCACTCACTCTTCTTGCTGCCGCTGCGGGCCGTCAGGCTGGTGGTGCTGCCCGACTGGCTGTTGTCCTCCATGCTGGGGTCGAAGGCGGGGTTGACCAGGCCGGACTCGTCCGACAGAAGCGCCACGGCGGCGGAGGCGGGGCCGTCGCCGGGCAGCGTGGCGAGGGTGAGCTCCGACGTGCTGTCGGTGCACTCGCCCTCCTGCGAGCGCCGCTTCCTGTCCGCAGAGAGCCCATAGTGAGACGCCCCTTTGCACCTGCACACAGGGGGGGGGGGCAAAGGTCAGACAGCGCCTATGACCTCACACAGGACGCTCCTCCTCCAGGAGGCTCCTCCTCCTGCACTAACACCTCCCCTCGCTCCCTAAAATTAGAATACACGCGGCTCCTCGCAAACACGACTTTGTCTCTGCAGAACTCGTTCTCACGTGTAAGACGGATCCTGTGAGGGCGAACGCCACTTCATCACAACACAAACACACAATTCAACACAAACACACACACCCGGTGGATGAGGGGGGGGGGCACAACATTTGATATAAAACAGATTGACTGAATGTTTTTCTACAAAACAGCATTCCTACATTCCAGATGTTCTCACTGTCAGCACAACAACAATACACAGACACACACAGACACACACACGCAGACACACACACACAGGCACACACCGACACACGCAGACACACACAGGCATACTATGCTGCATGCCAAAACAGGCTCTTCACACCAACAACATGACGTTGGGGATGTTTGTGTATTAATCCATGTTGTGCGTTATCAGACAGCGGCCCCCTTCTTCATGAAGAAGAAGAAGAAGAAGAAATACAGATGTGCGCCTGTTATGACAGGACACTTATTATTAAAGACTAAAGCTGTGATCTGAGAGCCCCCCCCCCTCCTCCCATCATGCTTTGGGTGACAGGATGGGATCGCTGGTCGTGTTGTGAAATAAACTCCAGCTCACGACTCATCAAAGCCTGTGAGACTCTCCAATCCTCTTTAAGGGTGAGTGGATTATCCTCCTCACCCAAATACCCCCCCCCCCCCCCCGCACACACACACACACGCCTCGGACAGTCACGTCGGGCCACACTGCACATACGACGCAGATGAATGAGACAATTGTAAGAAAAGCAAAGAGGAGATCTTCTAATCCGCCCGATCCGAGGGAGGAAACTCGTCCAGAATGAGCCGAGTAAACGCCGGGCGCCTGGGGGCCAAACACGCAAACACGCACAAACACGCACAAACACGCACAAACACGCGCAAACACACACGGACGCTTGGATTTATATAAATGGACGCTTGAATTGCACATTTTTCCTTAATGGGATTAATGTGTCAATTACTCCTCACACACGTAAAGCATAAAGTTTGAGGGGGAGGGAACGACAGAGAGAGAGACAGACAGATAGAGAGACAGACAGACAGAGAGAGAGACAGACAGATAGAGAGACAGACAGACAGAGAGACAGACAGATAGAGAGACAGACAGAGAGAGAGACAGACAGAGAGACAGACAGAGAGAGAGACAGACAGAGAGAGAGACAGACAGAGAGACAGACAGAGAGAGACACAGAGAGACAGACAGACAGAGAGAGAGACAGAGAGACAGAGAGAGAGACAGAGAGACAGAGAGAGAGACAGAGAGATAAAGACAGGCAGAGTAATCCAGTTAATGATGAACCAGAGGATTGTTAATCAGAGGATGTTCTGGTGTGTTGATTGGCTCTGCCTGCTGTGAGGGGTAATCCTATCTGCTGGGGGGGGCATGTTGGTCGGGGCTGGTTCTAAAAGGCGGATTTGGGAGGTTGAAGTAGGACTCCTTTAACGGCCGTTGGAGGCGAACGCTCGCAGAAACTCGTCTTACCGGTTTGGCATCTCCGTGTGCGCGTTTTGTTTTTTACGAGCGCGGTATCGGCCTAAACTCTGAGTCACGGGTTCGTTCAGCCGATCGATGCGAACCATCATCGCAGGAGCGCTGACCCCCCCTGATCGGGCTGGAGGGACACTGATGGGTCGGGGTCTGGTTTCGTCCTACTCTTTTAGTGGATGCAGAGGAAGAGCTCTGCCGGACTAACCCCGCCTCCCAGATGTGCAGGGAAACATCTGCATGGCCGTGAAGAAGAGGCAGCTTTAGTTGTGTAATCCTCTCCCCGCTGCCTGATGACAGAGGACCCTCCCCCCCCTCTCGAGGCTGCTCTATAGACTGTAAGGACATTATCATATATATGTGGTCCCTGCAGTCAGCTGATCTCGGCCATGTTTAACAAGTCCAGGTTGTCATTGACAACCGCCCTAAAAACGGCATGAGCGCTTTGGTGCCATAGACGTAATGGTCTTCTTCGTTGGTTTTGAAGCCTCGAGTTGGGCGGTTGGGTCGTCGTCACCTTTTTTTTTGCAACCGGAACTCACCATATTTGGTCATATTTGGTGGAGGCCTGTCAGTCGCAAGCAAGCCCCGCCCCCCAAAAGGAAACGTTTTTGGAAACGTTGTTTGCGATTTAACGTGTTTGAACGCTAAATTGTGAATTATGCAGGAGGCCGACATCACTGCACGCACACGTCTGATCCACAATCACTGAGCTCACGTACGCCTGTACGGTTAATACTGTGACCTCGGTGACAGGGAGGACGTGATAAAGGGATACGGGACAACAAATACTGTGTATTCAAGTTAAACCAAGGCTTTGTTGAATTGACTGTTAGAGTATTCCAAGAAAAACATAAAATAACAACCTGTTAAATGTATTTCTAAGCATCGGTGCACATTTTATTCCTAATCCAATCTCTTTTATACGTTGCATATTCACGAATGCAGCGTGCGCCCCTCAGTCATTTGTAGTAAAGTGTGTGTGCGCGTGCCTGTTGGTGTCGTTTCCTTTCGTGCTCGATTGTGACGGTTTTTGTAGATTTCTCATGCATATCAAACGCTCCCGTGACGGATTGTCGCACATTATAAAATGAATAAACTAAATCACAGTCATCGGCTTCCAGGGAGACGTCCTCCAGGGGGGCGGGGAGGGAGGAGGGCGAGGAGGGGAACGATTTGAACGTCTCCTCCCTTCCTGGCTCGAGGGGGAATTAATATTTAATCCACACAAAAAGTCTAATTAGCAAAGCCGGGGGGGGGTTTGCCGACGTGAACAGGTGACTCGTGCAGTCGGGGGATAAATCCCATTAGAACGCGTCCGTGCCCAGAAGAGGTCCGGAGCTCCGGGAGGGAAGGTGATCACACAGAGGGGACGGACGATTCGCTACTCGAGGAAAATGATTGGCTCAATCGAAGGTCGCTCAGGTCGCGTTGCGCTACGTCGCGACATCAGACCAAAGACACAAGCTGCAGATCGTTGTCTGGATGGAGCAGCCAGGGTCAGCTCGATGAACGTAGCTGGTAGCTAGCGAAGCAAGCCCCTCCCATCAGGCCTCTCTGGAGCCCCTCCCCCAAATCATTCCTCCAAACGTAAACAAACAACATGGCTGCTGTACACTCAGGTGTAAGGTGGCTTCTTGACTTAATGACTTATTATACTGAGATATTAGAAAAGAAATGATTGGACAGGATGATTAAAGTCCTGTTTTGACGTGTTTAATTCGTGTGAGGCGGTGGGAAGGATTTATGTTTTCAACTTAAGATTGTAGCAGTTCAAACACTGGCGAGTAGAACTAGTAGTTTATGTAAATTATGTAAAATTTGTATATTTCTTAAAATCCTTCCAAAGCGACTGGAACAAACAGAACAGTCACGAGTAGCTCCTCCCCCTCGAGGCGCTCAATGAGACAGAAACACGAACACAGGCTCCACCCGTCTATGCGTGAGTAAGACGGATTGCAGCCCCCCCTCTACCCCCACCCCCCCGCCCACGTGGGGTAAACCCGCTGGAGTAATCACATTAAAGTGGAAGAAATCAGGAAGAGAGGGAAAAGGAGGGTGGGGGAGGGTGGGGGAGGGCGGGGGGGGGCGAGCGCTGGAGGCTGCTCCTGTCACTGCGTGGATAAAGACTGATGCTCTCCGGCGGGGCAGAAAAACACCACGTCTGCTCCTCCTTTTCTCCGCCTGTCACGTCCTCATCAGCAGGAAACAACTCACACAACTCGCTGCAAAAAATACCTGACTGTTTGAATTCAGAATGGCACCCCCCCCCCCCCCCCCCCCTCCCTCGTCAGCCATGACCCACATAACCGGGGCGAGCATCGCCGCAGCAACCGTATGTGCACCACCAGATGGGAGGCGGGAGCAGGAAGTGACCTTAGCCCCCCCCCCACCCCCAACCCCGCCTCCTCTTATCTGCGCTTTGAACCACTCGAGCAGCTCTCCATCCACCCATTCTGCCCAGTGGATCCCCGGGGTGGGGGGGGGGGGGGCGGCGTTCCATTGTTCCGTCACGCAGCACTATGAGACGTTTTAGTCGGGGGGGTCGAAGTGTTTCTGCTCGTCGATGCAGTTTCTTTTGTTTCATAAAACCATCAAACAGGAAACGGAGGTCGGCCGCGTGGTGACCTCGAGTTACGTCGTCCTCGCTCTGAGGCCCAAATTTTGAAGTTTCTGGAAGCCACAGGATTGTTTTTATGAACACGCAAGATTTTGAAAGCAGGATTAAGGATGGTCTCTTATGGGCTTTCAGCGTTTTTAACGTGTGTTCTTAACGTCCCGGGTGTATTTCTAAGGCCTTAGTTTGTGTTTTTATGTGGAGAAACAGTTTTTCTTTAAAAAAGGTTAAATGTAAATAGTAAATGTAGGTGGAACACATTTTGATAAGCTTCTTCAATGTGAGAATTTCTGCTTTTCTCAAACCACCACAGACTGTTTGGCGAAAACAACCAAACACACAAACAAAGATGTCGCCTGGAGCTCAGCTTCTCATCGTCGTCATCTTCTCAAATCCCAGAAACAGTCGATGGAACCAGCCGGAGAAGACGATGAGGATGAAGGCGCCGAGCTGTCGCTCTGATGAGGTCTCCATGGAGATAAACAACTCAACAACACGGCGATGATGTAACCCACGGAACACCGAAAAGGCTGCAGGCGGGAAAAAAAGGCTCCCACAGATGCGTAGGGCAGCGAGCTGTGAATCTTTAATGGCGAGGTGAAAAGTGTACCACAAACAAAACAACAAAGCGCACACGCACACGCACACGCGGCGTACCGGGTACTTGGCTCAGACGAACACAGCAGCCACACACACACAAAGCTGCAGTGCTGTAGCACCCTGGACAGCACAAAGCTCTCTGCTGGTGTGCACCGCATCACCGCCACCGAGCAAGGCATCGGGAGGAGGTTCTACTCCTCGGCTCCAAACAGCACACACACACACACACACAGATGGCAGATGAAAGTGGACATGCAGGTGCTGGTGGCGGTGGTGATGCTGGTGGTGGTGATGCTGCCAGTGGTGATGGTGGTAGTGATGGTGGTGGTAGCGTGATGCTGGTAGTGATGATGCTGGTGGTTGTGATGTTAACAGTGGTGGTGATGGTGGTGATGCTGGCGGTGGTGATGCTGGCGGTGGTGGTTCTGGTAGTGGTGATGGTGGCGGTGGTGATCCTGGTGGTGGTGATGCTGGCGGTGGTGATGCTGGCGATGGTGATGCTGGTAGTGATGCTGGCGGTGGTGATGCTGGCGGTGGTGATGCTGGCGGTGGTGATGCTGGCGGTGGTGATGCTGGCGGTGGTGATGCTGGTGGTGGTGATGCTGGTGGTGGTGATGCTGGCGGTGGTGATGCTGGTGGTGGTGATGCTGGCGGTGGTGATGCTGGCGGTGGTGATGCTGGCGGTGGTGATGCTGGTGGTTGTGATGTTAACAGTGGTGGTGATGCTGGTGATGCTGGCGGTGGTGATGCTGGCGGTGGTGGTTCTGGTAGTGGTGATGGTGGCGGTGGTGATGCTGGCGGTGGTGATGCTGCCCATGGTGATGCTGGTATTGAAAAGTGGTAGCTGGTGGTGCTGGCGGTGGTGATGGCGGTGGGGGGGTGGGGGGCGTTGTACTCACAGCTCAGAGTAGAGGATGTGCAGGTTGCCCAGGTTGTCGGTGTAGTTGGCCGGGCTGAGCCAGGGAAGCACCAGCAGCAGCAGCGCCTTCATGGTCAGCCTCCTCCCCCCCGCTCGCCTCTGCACCGCCGCTCTCTCCTTCCTCCCCCACCTCCAATTCTCCGAACCCGGCCGTGCTGACCCCCGCCCCCCCCTCCTCCCCGCCCCCCTGCCCCCCCCAGATCAGAATTAATCCTTCACTTTCCCCCCTCGATCTCTTTGCGTCTCTCTACCTCCGTGTCCCAGGAGCCCCCCCCCCCACACTCCTCCTCTTCCTCCTCCTCCTCCTCCTCCTCCTCTCCCTCAGGCCGGCTGCCCGATCATCTGAGCTGCGGAGGGCAAACGGGCCGGCTGCCAGAGGTTGAAGGCGGAGTGGCAGCAGGAGGAAGAGGAAGCAGAGCTGAGGTCCTGATGTGGCAGGAGGAAGAGGAGGAAGTGCCAGAAGAAGAAGAAGAATAGGAGGAGGCGGAGGAGGAGGAAGAGGAGGAGGAGGAGGAAGGAGGACCCGTCCAGAGGTGGCACATTTGGAATAGAGTTTGATATGTGCGGCCCCTTAATCTGCTCCGGGCGCTGGCGTGTTGTAAGAGGATTTGCGCTCGTGTGCGTGCATGTCCGTCTCAGTCGCCGTGTGTGTGTTGGAGGGAACAGCGCAGGCTGTGACTTATACTGCAGCAGAAACCACTGAGGGGGGCTGGGGGGGGGGGGATGGAGCAGACCAAACAGAGATGGGAAAGGGGGGTGGGGATGGGGGGGGCTGGAGGGAAGGTACTTGCTGCTACTCTGATTGGCTCTTACGCTTATACACACGCTCTCAGAAACACATGTGTGTGCAACCTCTGCATTCACCCCCCCTCCCTTCCCACAATACATTGGTCCATGGAGGGGGGGGGGGTTGATAGAGAGGAGTGGGGGCTGTTGCCTGAGCCCCCCCCCCTCCTCTAACGATGGACTGCTCCCCGCAGCAGATTGGTCTGATCGCTCAATGGAAGCTGAAGAGGGAGAAAACATTCAAAGACACAAACACACAAATCAATGATGGGCAGGGGGGGTTCATTCATTCACACAGTCATTCATGTATTCATTCATTTCAGGTAAGTGCTGACGGAGGAAAGGTAATAATATCAGAAGGTTAAAGGTGAGATCACATTCAGATTTATTGCAAAGAAATTTGCCTTTTCTTCTTAATGAAAAATTAAAGTAACCAAATAAACCTCATCGCGCTGTATTTAAGCGTTAGCGTAGCACGGCTTAGCCTAGAAAATCAGCATTTTCAAAAGCTTTTGCAATTCAAATTTTTATGAATTAGCATCATTAGGTTTTCATCCCATTATCTGTTTTCATCTGCTCATTCTGTAATGAGGTTAAAGCACAGCTACGGTGTGTTTGGGTTGGTTCTGTGAAAGCTAAATGCATTCAATGTCTGTTTATCTCGTCTTATTTCTTCATCTCTGGCCTCTATTGTTCTGCAGTAAAACAAAGAGACAACCTTGAATGTGAAACACTACAGATAATCGCATTTCATCCCGACCCCCCCTTTCCCCAGCGATATTCATGTTTCTGTTTTACTCTGAGTGGAGTCGTGTCATTTTGATTTATAAAGCTCATATTTTAATCTCCTCTCCTTGTTTTCCCTCTTCTTACCTATTTTTATCCGGTTTTCAGAGCGCTGTGCAGGAGAAAGGGACTTAGCTGCTGTAAATACGCCGTCACACTGAATGTTGGGCTGAATCTGTGAGTGTGTGTGTGTGTGTGTGTGTGTGTGTGTGTGCGCTAGTGCACCGAGGATCAAGTGATCCCGTCGTACCACAAATTACATTTGATTGTGACAAGATTTTTGTGAACAGAAACCAGTTCTAAAGCCCCGCAGGACTCACTCAGGAAACACACGCACACACACTCCCTCACACACACACACACACACACACACACTCACACTCACTCCCTCACACACACACACACACACTCACTCCCTCACACACACTCACTCGCACACACACGTCAGTAAATGCCACATTTAGAACATACAAAACATGGTCAGGAATTCTCATTTCTGTGAATCAGAACAAAGAGAAAAGAAGAACCAACATGATGCTGAAGGCAGAACATCAGTAGAACACGAGCCGCTCTGACTGAACACAGCGTGTAACTAAAGCGCCGCATGGAGCCACGGGTCGGGTCGCCCCCCCCCCCAGAAACGCACACCTCCAGGTTGAGCTGGTTGGGACCCGACAGGTCAGGGATGATTACACACGTATGAAATCATCCCTGACCTGGTGGCCGTCATTACGACCCCCCCGCAGAGAGGCGTGAACCTCCCCGGGGCAACTACACACGGGACCTTTTATTCTCTTAGGGATCAGACGCTAGCTTGGCGTTATCCGCAGCTAGCGCCAATTTGTGTCACTATAAGTGTTTCCAACGCGCTGGAATCTGATCCTGATATTCAGGTACCAGAAAACCTCCAGATGGAAACACGAGTTCATGGTCTCAGTCTCTGGTTTCAAGTCTTCTTCATCCAGCATGATGTTCATTTAGTGAATGATGGTCCATTTAGAGTCATAAAGCAGGGGAAGCTTTAGGGCGGGGCTACACGCTGATTGACAGGTTTAGACGAGAGACGTATAAAGACTCTCTACTTCCTCCTTGGTCCAAATATGGTCACTTCCTGTTCACGGTTTACCAGACTCCATAACGTCCATCCGCACACCGATGAGTGTTGTCATGACGACCATGTTCACTCCTTCTGTGGTTTGGACCAAAATACCGGAGGAGCGACAAGAAGCAGCTTCATCAGTCGGATGGAGTCCTACCTAGAGGACCAGACTCGCCTCCACCTCCTCCTCCTAACTACGGGTTCTCCTGAAGCCCTCATGGAGATATCAGACAATGGAGCCGCACGCAGATAGAAGGGACAGGAATTAAGAAAGACACTTGTGTGCAAGACGTGTGGCGAGGTGAATCCTCCCAGAGGCCTTTGGGCCGTGGGCGCGTTAATGAACGGTAATGAAAAGCAAAGCGCTGTGTGCTAATGATTAATCAACAGAGGAGCCAAGGGGAAGGGGGGGGTTAACAAATAGTAAAATAAGACTCTCTTTCTCCCTCTGAAGAAAGAGACGAACCAGCAGCAGTTTTTACACCACGTTACCAACAAGCACCATAAGTTTAAACAAAGCTAAAGGCCCGAGCGGTCCTACCTGCTCCTGATGTGGTCCTCCAGGTCGCCCCGGGCCATCTCCTCGGCGCAGTGCTGGCTGAAGGGGCACGCCACGGTCAGCTTGTCCAGCAGCTTGTGGACCAGCAGGCTGGGCTTCCTGCAGCTCTGCAGCATGAGCGGCGCGCGGCACACGGGGCAGAAGTCGCTCTCCAGCAGGAAGCTGGTGAGGCACTCGCGGCAGTAGGTGTGGCCGCAGGGCGTGTCCAGGGGCCAGAGGAGCGCCTGCAGGCAGATGTGGCACACCAGGTCGTCGTCCACCTCTTCCACGTACAGGTACTCGTGGTTCTCCTCCAGCTGGTGGCAGTGGCCGCACGCAGCGCACAGGTCGGGGGGCGGGGTCGCCGGTCCGTAGTCGGCGGGGGAAAGGGGCGAGGAGGCGCCCCCGCCCTGCGCGCCCTCCTCTTGGATGCTCATCTGGACTCGGGGCGGGTGGAGGAGGTCACGAGCAGCCGGGATCTGTGGCGGGCTGGCAGAGGAAGAGGGTCAGTACGAGAAGTATTAATACAAGCACAAAATATAAAAAAATATGAATTGTGTTTGTTTACAACCAGTAAACAGGAAGTGACCTCATCTGGACTGAGTGACGCCGAATACGTCTCTGTTAGGGAGCTGTCAATCTTAAGCATCCCCTGCTTCATGGTCTGTTTGACTCTAAAGGGACCATCATGCTGTATTGACTTGAAACTAGAGACTGATTCTCAAACTATTCACTGTAATAAAGAAGACCCTCAAAAACCCTCAAAACAAACGATTCCAGGTACAAGGAACCAGAAGAGGTTCTACAAGGAACCAGAAGAGTTTCAACAAGAAACCAGAAGAGGTTCTACAAGGAACCCGAAGAGTTTCAACAAGGAACCAGAAGAGGTTCTACAAGGAACCAGAAGAGGTTATACAAGGAACCAGAAGAGTTTCAACCAGGAACCAGAAGAGGTTCTACAAGGAACCCAAAGAGTTTTAACTAGAAACTTGAAGAGTTTCAACAAGGAACGAGAAGCGGTTCTACAAGAAACCAGAAGAGGTTCTACAAGGAACCCGAAGAGTTTCAACAAGGAGCCCGAAGAGTTCCAACAATAAACCAGAACAGTTTCTACAAGGAACTCAAAGAGTTTCAACAAGGAACCCGAAGAGTTCCAACAATAAATCAGAACAGTTTCTACAAGGAACCCAAAGAGTTTTAACAAGAAACCCGAAGAGTTTCAACAAGGAACCAGAACAGTTTTCTACAAGGAACCAGAACAGTTTCAACAAGGAAGCAGAAGAGGTTCTACAAGGAACCCGAAGAGTTTCAACAAGGAACCAGAAGAGGTTCTACAAGGAACCCGAAGCGGTTCTCCGATGGACAAGCTGAAGAACCCTCAATGCTCTTTGTTTATTCCTATATTTCAAATATACCATCACTGAAGAAAGGGAGACCACACTTGTGTAGTAACAGGGTGTGAATATTCATGAACGCACACACACACACACACACACAAACACACACACACTTCTTTTCCTCTGCTGGCACAGAGACGAGATATCGAACTCCTGAGATTTCTCCTCTAGATTTCATCGACGGTGCTCGTGGCGACGGACAGAGACGAGTCTGCGTTCCAGACGCGCAGCGCGGTGTGACGTCGTTTGTTGTTGTTGTTGTCTCTTGCAGGTTGCCTTCACCGTGCCGGAGTGCCAGCGGACACGTCACCCACGACGGGCAGGCTCATCCGGCACATGGACACGAGCAGATGGGCTCGGTGGGACTGGCGTCACCTTGGCAAGGGCCATGCTGATGGCGCTCCGCAAAGGACACTCTGGGGGGGTCTGGGCGGCTTAATGAGACACCAGATCTAAACCCGCACAGGGGGGCGACATGGAAACGCTCCAGTGCCTCTGAAAAGTCCATGAAGAACTACACGTTTATCAGCACCAGGAGCTGTAAAAGACATATTCATCTCCATGTCTGGGTTTTCAGACGGTCCTCAAATGCATCACGTGTGACCATCGGCTTTGTTACAAAAAGTAAAAGTAGCAAGTAGGAAGCCATCAGTGACTCAGCTGAGACCAACAATCAGCACCAAAATATTTCACTGATTATGGCTCCTTTTTCTTCCACTTAAATCCTTAAAACAATGTGGACACCTGGAAGATCAAAGGTGATTCATGTCATTGTAACTGTTGTTCTGCACGAGAGGCACTGATCCCACAAAACGTTTCCCCCAGGAGCACTTTTACATTGCAGTGAAAAAGAGAGTAAAATGTGTCCAAAATGCCCCCAAACTGGCTTTCAGAGGCTTAACGGAACTCGTTCCTGTGCCCTTAATAAATATCAGACAAGTCCGGCCGTGCACGTACAAGACCTGCAGAGTAACCTGCCCCTGTCACGGAGGCCGGACCGCGAGCCGTGTCTGTCCTGCAGACCCAGAGGAGGAAGAGGAGGAGGAGGTGTCCACAGTGAGCCGGCATGTTGCTGTGTACACTTCCACCACTCCTACTCAACACAATATATCATATCTGTGTGGATCAGTGAAACACGCCCTGCAGAGAAAGGCGTAGTCGGAGGGAAAGTGTGCATGTGAGCGCGCTGGAGAAAGGCCGTCAGGATCACTCAAACCACAGGACCCACGGTGTGTGTGCGTGTGTGTGTGTGTGTGTGTGTCACACACCAGCATAGTGCGTCAAGTTCAGACACGCCGCAAAAAATTCCAGGAAGCAACTTTTTTTCTTTCTGCAGACGTCTGTTTCATAACGACTCACTTGAGGATAAATGAACATGATGATTCATGTATATTGATGATTCATCAGAAACCTTCACGAATAAGCGCTCATAGGTGACCTCTACCTGAGGACCTCCTGGGGGGCCGGTTCCCTCCCCGGGTAGGACAGCTGCGGACAGATGTGACGTCCGAACCAGGCGGACTGGATGATCTGTGGCTACGCGATGAGATTCTGATGTATGAAATCACTACTTCTCTCACACACACACACACACACACACACTCACTCATACACTTAAATTTACATCTGCTTTAAGTCGGAGAGAGAGAAGAAACTTGACTTACGTGTCTTCATGCGAGACGTTGTCGTTCAGCCGAGTGGTTCACCTGCACAGGTAAAGCCTCGCAGAGGGAGTAACGTTAAACCCTTCAGAGAGGGGGGGGGGGGGTTACAATGACTCAGGAAGGAGGACTTTGTCCCCCCGGTCACGGAGTCTTTAAGAAGGAGAAACTGAATCCGACCGGCCCCCGAGAGGGAGGTGTGTGTTCTTTTCCGGCGACTGACGACAGCGAGAGCTCGGAACCTGCTCACCTCCAACAGGCAAAGGTGATCAGGAAGTGGAAGAGCGGAGGGGCGGAGCCACAGGAAAAAGGTAAACAAGGGAACTGGCCAAACCTGCTCTGGGCTTTTCAGGGGGAAAAGGAATCTCCTGGGAATAGATGGCGGGGTATTACAAATAACACGTGTTTCTACAATTAGCTTTATTTACTCTGGTGATGAATATACGTTTCAGTATAACAGTGAACAAACTTGTACATTTAATGCACGGACATTTGCATGAAGAGAAAGCCCGGTCCTTAAACCGGAAGGTCATCATAGGACATGAGATAACGCGACCAAGTGGTTCCACCGGCGCACAACGCACGCACGGCGCTGTGGTGCTCCTCGCCCGCTTCTCCGGGCTTTGGGCAGCCGGGCGTGCGATAGCGGCGTTGGACACAAACTGGTTCCTCTCAGATGTGTTTTTCTGCTCTCATTAGTAAAAACAAAACCAGAATCATGAATCGTTGTGCGGCTTTTAAAAGTCACTCCGCTTCCAAACGAAACGCGTTTCAGAAGGCAAATACTTTAACAGCTGTTGGACACGTTCCTCTAGAAATTGTTTGGGAGATACGAGTTAGAAATGTATAAAGCGACTATAACTGAGGGGGTGTCGGGGGAGGGGATTTAAATCACGGAGGTTAAAATGATCCCTCCTCCCTAAAACACATCCACTCTAAAATGGACATTTGTTGAAAAGGTGATTAAAAAGATTAACCAGCATACGGAATCCAATCGGTCTGACGTCTTAAATGTTGCTGACATTCGTCTTAACGTCTGCGGCTCGACTTTGTACTGTTGTTTCCGATTGTTGTCGTTGTACATCTGAGTGTCGACCCCCCCCCCCCGATATAACGGAAGGGGAATCACTGATTTATGTTTAAATAATAAGGTAATAATAAGCTAAGAAGGATAACAACCTCATTTCTGAAACCAGCAACAATAACCACCTATGTGGGCATAATAAGGGGCGTGGCCTCTGGGGTTGACCGGTGGGTGTGGTCTCAGGGTGCTAACTGCTAGCCGTCTCCTACGCTGACCCACCTCTTCCCCATTTGTGAAGCCAGACTGTTTCTCTTGAGCGTCACAGCCGCTCTTCAGAAACCTGCCCCGTCGCCATGGAGACAACAGTCACTGTACCTGTGGTCCGCGGGGGCAAACAGCGCCGCGTGACTGGGGCAGTTTTGCTACATTGACACAAATATTTGTTTACTGTAACTCTTTGAGGCGGCGATAAATAAATATATATATATATATATATATATATATATATATAAATACATACATATATACCATCAACCAATCAGTGGTCCAGGTTCTGCCCCCCCCCTCCTCCCGACTGAGCTGGTACATTAGTCAAACAGAGGTAATGTTTTTAGACTCGCCGCCCCCTCTGTAATTATTCAACAAGATGAAGTCCTTCAAACTGCAGGCAAATGACGCAGACCCCCCCCCCCCCCCCCCCTCCGATCCCCTGCCCCCCCCCCTCCCCTCCCCTCCCCCACCTCTAACCCCCCTGACTCCTCCTCCAACACACTCTGGTTCAGACACTTGAAGGAAACTTATTTTTGTCTCCATGTCATGAGGACAGCAAGCAGGGCGGTCGATTCTCATTTCCACCACTCGGACCGGGGGGGGGGGGGGGGGGGCAGGTGGGGGGGGGCAATGACGTATCGTGGTCATTAGTCGTTAGTCTGGTGTCTGAAAGCCGGCGTGAACATCATCGTTCACAGAGAACTGTCAAACGCCGGCGACACCGGGCCTAACACCCGAGGGGAGGGGCTCCGCCTGCTGAGGGGGGGGGGGGGGGTCAGAGCGCTCCAGCAGGTAACACAGCAAATGAAGACGAATGCACTTCATCACTATGGCGGTCTCACAGGCACACACACAGACGCACACAGACACACACTTAACACAGCTGGACAAGCTGCTGCCAAACGTCTGACCGACATCGTCGTTTACAAAAAGGTTGTGTGTGTCTGTGTCTGTTTGTGTGTGTCTGTGTGCACTGTCGAAGGAAAACTAGATCAGGGCCACAGATGCTCGACAGCGTGACCGTCTCATTATCCCGGTCCGACCCCCCCGACCCCGTATGTCACCCAGGAGTCGCCTTTCGGAGCCGTCTGATTGAAGTCTAACTTCTCCTCCCCGTCCGATTCCGCTCTGTCCATCTCTCATCACGTCACTAAGGGTTATGTAAAGGTCTGCTCGTGTTTCAGAGTACAGTAATAAACGGGGAGTGGGGGGGCTGTTAGGACCCGCGTTGGTCGAGCTCCAATCATTTCATAGTATTTCGGAGTGATTAAATTGGGCTTATGATGCAACAGTCCAGATGAGCGGGACTTACAAGAATGCGAGCAGACGGAGTGGTTGATCACCGGCGTAATCCTCTCGTCCTCCTATTAGACGCTCCGCATGCAAACAGATCTGTTTAGTGCCTTTTAAAAGGAAAACGTCTTTGGGAGTGTGGGGGGGGGGGGGGGGTGTAAGCGCTGAATGAATGGATGAATGATTGCCCTGCTGCGATGGGGCTCAGCAGCGGGATCCAGATGTGATAATAATGACATCAGGTCTGCTCGGACTCTTTTAAGGGTTTTATGTGAAGCACTTGCCTTGTTGCCTTGTTGTTGAAATGTACAGTAGAAATAAACTGGCCTTGCCTACAATACCGCAGTCTTAATACTACTAATATCTTTCTGTACGAGCTTTACCTTTATCACCACATTTATTCCGCATGCGGAATGAAAGGACTACTTAAGGCTTTTACTGTGAAAGGTTGCTTGCAAATGTTACGATCAGGGCTTTTATTTTGAAAAGTTTACAATGTTTACTGAGGGAATAAATCAAGAGAGAAGTAATTTCCTCATAGACGTCTATGGGAGCAGAGGAGTCGCCCCCTGCTGGTCACTACAGAGAAGTAGAGTCATTTCCTCATAGACGTCTATGGGAGCAGAGGAGTCGCCCCCTGCTGGTCACTACAGAGAAGTAGAGTCATTTCCTCATAGACGTCTATGGGAGCAGAGGAGTCGCCCCCTGCTGGTCACTACAGAGAAGTAGAGTCATTTCCTCATAGACGTCTATGGGAGCAGAGGAGTCGCCCCCTGCTGGTCACTACAGAGAAGTAGAGTCATTTCCTCATAGACGTCTATGGGAGCAGAGGAGTCGCCCCCTGCTGGTCACTACAGAGAAGTAGAGTCATTTCCTCATAGACGTCTATGGGAGCAGAGGAGTCGCCCCCTGCTGGTCACTACAGAGAAGGACTTGTAGTAGTAGTAGAAGTACTACATTCCACCGCTGCGTCTTTAGATGTGTTGATCCGTAGTAAAGATTCTGTGTAGAAATGTGAATCTGACAAACAAACGTGGATGTGTGTAAAAAAGAGCGGGAGAAGATCCCACGAGGTCACACTCTACCCCCCCAGATAGAAACTGACCCATCATGAACGCAGGCAGTGACATTAATCCCAACAACGCACACATTTCTCTGCTGACATAATCACTTTTCGCTTCATCCCTGTGTGGCTGGGAGGGCCGGGGGGGCCGGGGGGGCGGGGGGGGGGGGGTAGATTACAAAGACCACCGCAGGCTGAACGGCCCGAGGACGTCCTCCTCCTCACAGCCCGCCACTATCGGACATCTCGTCTATATCTGCCCGCGGAGCGAGGTTGGTCCGAAGCCAATTCAGAGGACACCCCCCCCCCCCCCGCCCCACCTGACCCCCCTCCAGGAGCAGAATGAAGGATCATCTCAGCAACGAAATCTCAATAAAAGGTTAAAAACCAGAAGGATTTATTTCATTTCACATACGTTTCACCTCTAAAGCGTCTCCATCGTAATGTGGTGGTTAGGAGCGGATCGATGAGTCAACTGAAGGAGGGTTAGACCATGTTAACGGGGGGGGGGGTTAGCAGTGGTGCGGTAGAATCCGATGGATTTCATTCAAGGAAAACTAAAAGCATCTGCGTTTGGTCGTCATGCTAAATGAAATAAAGGTGAAAGAGCAGCGCGGCGACGGAGGGAATGCAGCGTGGTGATTGGTGGAGAGGCAGCACATGGTTTATGTGTGCAGTAAATATGGATTTGTGCCTCTGTGAGCCGGGGGGACAATGTCCATTCAGCTAATACGCTGCAGGACCTTTACCTCATTCGCCTGCTCCTTCTTTACTGCTGTTGCTGGTGCGAAGCTAGTGGTTAGCTTAGCTCAAAAGCTAGTGGTTAGCTTAGCTCAGAACGGCTTCGGCTCCCAGGAGAAGGAGAGATTCACACGCTTCCTTAAGTGTGTGTGAAAGGTTGGTGATTAGCTTAGCTTAGCTTAATCTATGCTTGGGACATCTTTTGGATCCTCACATTTGGGTCTTAAACTGAATGCAGCATTTTCCGACTAAGAAGTTTGCCGTAACCATTTAAATGATGTTTTTTTGTGTGAATAACGTCTATGGATGAGAGTAACGAGATGAATCATTTACAATCATTGCAACATCGACGTTTTAGGAGAAAACATTTAGAGGTTCACGGTGGCATCATGTTGCCATTCATCACAATCCGCTCAACAGGAGGAAGAAACGACCTCGACTCCAAAGCCATTACAACAAAAGTATCTCACAATACTTGAGCCCCCAGTCTGACGTACGACCCATGGATCCATTCTGCAGTCCTAAAGCACATGTTCATCATCATCATCCTAAACCTCCACCCTGCAGAGGCTTCAGATGCAGCCGTGATGGAGGTCAGCTCCATTTCTAGTCTCCTGACCCCTCGAAGCGCTGCTGCCATAGCAACCAGCATTCACACACCTGAGTCACAGCTGGGGGGGGGGCGCTGCCGGGGTCGAGGCTCTTGGCTTAATGACACACCAGCATGCGAGGATGGAACCTCCGATCCCCACGTGTGCACGAGCCGTGCGCTCCACACACCAGCTGCAGGTCCCGGGTGGAATCATCAAGCGCAGTTTTACCAAAAA